TCTGTTGTTAGCCGAGGCGAGACACCTTTGAAGATCAATTGTGGAGCAACAGTTTGCATTTAGGTGGTGAGAAACGCATCCGAAACATTCTCAACTTGCCACTCAGAGTGTTCAGAAGACTCTGCATCTTGTCAGTGTCTTCACCTAACAGGACTATGTCATCATCACCAATACCCACACAATAGGTGTGATTCATTATCTGGTGCATTAATGTCCACAGGGTTGATGAGTTACATTTCGCTTTGTGCATTCATTGATAAAAAGTAAGCGTATCAAAGATATTCCTGTGTAAATAGATGAAAAGTACTTTCATTGTGAATAAATCTAATCGAAAATTTGTTGCATATGGTTAAATTAGATTAGGTCAATACTCTTATTTCCAGTGCATTGACCTAATCATTAATATTCTCGATAAGTTTATGAACCATACGTTTGTCTGTTGTCATCATTTGTACACAAAAAACAAACAAACAGACAAGCAGACAAAATAAATGAGGATTTCCTTTTTCAGTTATACTGTCGGCAGTAAAAAAAACATAAACACACTAAGTGCTTATTCTACTCTACTCATTCACTATAGTATTTTTGTTTTTGGTCTATTAGATTTTCGGGTAACTAGACTTTAAACCTGCACTGTAGGTTAGTGTATGTATGCAGTGTCTGATTGTGAAGGGAATATGGAGTGAGTATATAACGCTAGTCAAAGCTTTCTACTCCAACTTACGCAGCCGTGTTAAGACGTTTGAACAGTTGTCATGTGAACGGGGTTGATGAGATTGTAAACTCTTATCGGCTGGGATGACTTCAGCATGTGTTGGACCTGCCGTGCCACCGTCTGCCTCGACGTGCCATGCTTGGGGGAGTTGGATTAGGTTGGGACAGGGTTCAGGGTGACCAGACCAAGGTGTGGCATGAAGTCTGTGACTGTTGGTATCAGCCATGCATGGAGATGTAGAGTACATGGTTGGGGTCCCCAGGACGATATGAATCAGTGGTTGAAAAGTCCTAATGATATGAATGTAAATCGGTGACAATGAGGCAGATGTATTGACTCCTTGATATCTCCAGCTCGAATATTTGAACTAACCTTTATCTTCAAATTGTTTGTATCTCACGTAACTTTGTCTACTTTGATATTACTCTTTTTCTATCCATCTGTTCTTTGTGGCAACTTGAGCCGATGGACATGTATGCGAGGTTCCACGTTGATTTTGCCTATCCGTCATGTGAATTGACGACGAGTTGTGAAGTCTATCAGGGATTCTTGCTGTCATTGTTGTTGTTTAATTTTTTGTATAGGTGTACTTATGTGATAGACATAACCTTAGGTGCGCCTGACTTAGGGATTGATCTAATCTTTGGAGGTCATCTGGTTAACTTGGAGTATGGAGACGATATTCTCCTACTGAGTAATGATGCTGATAGGATACGGGATCTTGTGAACATCAAGAGCATAAATCCGAATATGTTTGACATGCGTTTCGCATCTGTCAAATGTATGATGATGCCCTACAATTGGTCTGCAACTTTTTCTGCTTTATGGATAGGGAGTATATTGGTTGAATGGGTCTACTACTTCACTTATTTGGGGATTTGTTTATGCTCGAACCAGCTGGTTGCTGATGAAATCTCCGCTCGAATACGTGAGGTCCGTTTAGCATTTGCCAAGTTGCATCATGTCTCACCGGCTGGCAAGTTCATCGACTACGTTATGTAGCACGAGTGTACTGCACTGTAGTTGTTCTTTGTGTTCTGTTATACGACTGAGAGAGATGGATATTAAAAGTAGAAGACATGAAGCAGTTGTAGGTTTTCGATCATAATCGCTTTGTATCATTGCTTGCGCTTGGTGGAATCGTCGTGTGAACATTGTTGAGGTCAGATGAAGGATACTAGGGGAGACAGGCTGACAGATCGATTGATGAGGTTGTGATGACTTGGAATGGTACTGCACATGTCGAGCCACCACCTACCTCGACGTGCAATATTAGTGGAAGCTGGATTAGGTTAGGAGAGGGTTGAAGGTGGCTAGCCCAAGATGTGATATGAAATCTGTAACTGTTAGTCTGAGTCGTATGGGGAGATGTAGACTGCCTGGTTGGGGGGTTCCCGGGACGACACGAACCAATAGTTGGAGATCCTCGGTGACATGGCTGCAAATCGATCACAGTGGCGTAGCTGTATTCACTCTTCGATGTCTTCTAAAGCTTGAATGTTTTGACTAACAATAATTTTTCGATTCCCTCTCCTCCCATACACGTTTGTCTACTTTGATACCAGTCTTTTTCTATCTTCTTCTTTGTGTGCTACTGTGAAATGTTACAGCATGCACAGATGGACTTGTGTGGGAGGTTCTATGTTGGTTTTGTCTGTCTGTTAGCATATCTTTATCGGTTTTACCTTAAAAGCATGGATACAGATTACATATAAATATTGAGGTATAGGAAGATAAAAAGAAACAAGGAAATTCATGTAGATTATTAATAGATTCATGATTTCATCTATTCCCTGTTGAACAGATTTGAAGTTTACCAATCTTTTCTTTACCATTCATGTTTTTTTTAGGACATTCAATGCGAAGTGCATGGAGATATCGTTGTAACACTGGTTTCATCTTTGTAACATATTGAACACCTAAAGTTTGTTTGGTATATGGAGTTGTGGCTTATTGGTTAAGGGGGGAGAGGGGGGGGTACAATCACCGCTCCACTTGCCCGGGATTTCGTCCATCTGCTACTGTCACCAGCCTTCATGCGGTTGATGTGACTCATTGTCTGCTGCAGGAATGTGTACAAGGTTTCTGAGTCGATTTTGGTCCAGTTTACTATATAGGAGAATAGGCAGTTATAGTTTAGCCTTAAAACAAAATGAACTGAAGAACTTTTGATTAACAAACATCAGTAATTCGTATGGGGGATAGAATCTCATGGCGCTGTGGCTGATTAGTGTGTACACACGACTTCACATCATCGACATCTGGGAAGTTAATTCATACCATAAGCTTATTGTTTGCTGCACGAAAATTCACGTGGTTTTTGAGTTGCATTTCAATTTTGTTTCCTTGATTTATTTACTCATGGGTTTACTCATTTAGATAGAGCAGGCAATTATGTGGCTGCATTTGAACGGAAGATACTTCCAACTCCATTATATTTGATTCAATAAGTAGCACACAAAAGTTTAATAAGTAATTACTATTATCTGCTGTATAGAGTAAACAAGTGTATAGTAATACTAAGACCTGTTTACTTTAACACCTATGGCAACCTGATAACCTGATAGGAGCTATTACGTAATGTCTCTTTCCAAGCTCCTCATGATAATAATTTTCCTTTTTTTTCACGCCAAACGTTTCCACAAAAGTCATTTTAGATATAATCCTTCCTATTTGTAAGATCTTTGATATTATCTGCCTAAGTGGCAATAATCTGATTGACTTAAAGTAAAATTGTACTTGTCATCAATCAGCAGCAAACCCTGAACCTAATTGTTAAAACCAACAAACGGATATCTGGTTTTGACTTTCTTGATAGCAGCTAGTAGTAGAATTTTGGACGTGCGTTTCGTCCTATTTTGAACTCGTCAGCTGGATGTATCGTCACACTAGTGAGTGATGTTGTTCACAATGAAATTTAATCCTTTTGCTCATCGCTTCAAGAGTCAAAGTGTTATCCACTAGTTCACTGAGACAAGAGAACCACTACTTGTGCAACCAGTATCAGTTATTATTTTGGATACTTGTAGTTTTTTTTGCTGTTATACTTGGTCATATTGGTGATTGTTGATGAGTCCTAAACTAAAAAGAGTGGAACGCACGTCCTGGATTTCGTTGTTAGCCTCCATGAAGTAAATTACAATAAAATGAATAATCAGACAAGGCGTACGGAGAGGAACCCATATGTCAGCAGTTTGTTCCAATGTAACAACAACAGGAAATTACGTACGAGTATCGAAAAGTGATAGCACGCTTAGTTGGTCGGTATTTCCCACGTAAATTGTGTTCTTTATATTTGTCTTTAACCTTGAACAAAGTTAGTGTTATTCGTATTTTATTGGTTCATTATGAACTTTGGTCAAAGGTTGTATTATTGACATTTTATTAGTCCATGACTAACCAGTTTCTGAGAAGACGATTTTTCTTGCTTAAAATTGGCAGTTATTCGCTCAGTTAAATAAGTATATCAAAAAACTGATGTACTCAGCCTTTTTCCCGAGGAATTAATCTTGTCTTCTGTATCTTTCAGTAGTGCGGGGGGGGGGGCGGGAGTGTTTTCAGTCATGCGTATCAACTGTCGAGTGTTCAACTGTTGTGTCTGTTTATGGCGACAGTTCCTAATTCACTATTCATCAGCCAGGAGAAATCCTACAATCTTAGTATGATTCAATCACATCAATCACAAGGCATAGTTGAAATTTTAAGAGAAAACAACGAAACAGGATAGTTTCACATGCCTACAAAATTCACTCTGCTTCAGTGGTGGCTAAAACAGGATTTTCATTCACTGCTTAAACTTATCTCTCACTCAGTTTTTAATTATTGTTTTTGTAACTGTTTGTTCATCAGTTTTGAATATCCGAGATAGTCGTGGTTTGGTAGACTTATATTATTGATGCTGGGTGACGATTGAGAGTGAAATAGAAATTTTGACCGCTGTGGTGCTCGAACCAACGACCAACTGAGCTACGAAACTCGACTGCTCACAGGACGGGAAACCCTGGTTGTTGCTGATACTGAATCCTGCTGTGACCAAAGTTGTCATTTCATCTCCAACCATCACCTAGTAACAATAATTATTTGTATCTGTTTTGTATGTGATTTCTCACTGTTTAATTGATGGCGGTTATAGTAACCTGGATTATAAACGATGAATTACTTTTAACCCTTTAGGTTCGTCGTGAACAGTTGTTATATTTTGATGATAATGCAAGTCGATTGCAAACTAATATCATCCAATGTAAATGTTTCCACAATTAATATACTTCTTTATTTCTTACTTTAGCGATTCATCCACTTTAACACCTGATGCAACCGTCGATTCGTCTTCAGTCAACATAAAAAATGCTGTCGAAAATGCTTCCTTTGCTTACAGTACACATACACAGTCATACTCGACTGAGTCTACAGAAAAAGTCGATACCAGTTCTTCGACTAATTCTACTGGTTCTTCATCTTCAATTGTTGCACGTCTTTTTGGAGGTACACTGTTAAGGCATACTTCTTGTGTTGAATGTCAACATGTCTCTAGTTCTAGACAAGAACAGTTTACTTGTTTATATGTTCCACTAACAAAGCCGAAAGAATTATTGTATCAAGATCAAACACCCAACGAGGATCTAAGCTTCGTAAATGATATTCCTGAAGTAAGTGTACACAGTTTTTGTTTATTTCGGTGAAATGTTTATCATCACTCAAACTCTCTCCCTACAATAACTTGCAATCTAATATATAGTGGTTATTTGTTGATATGCTTGTAATTCTCCGTTGTTTTACTGGGTCAAATTGTTTGACCTCTATTGGCATATTGGCATATTGGCTCTTCATCCTTCACTACTTGATGTGCTGATATGAGGTGTGGCAACTCGGACCGTTACGCAGTAATGCCTGGTCCTATGTTGATAATGATGATGATGATGATGATGATGCGGATGCCTCGATATTGCCTGAATATTTGTTGTGGTGATTTGCTTGTTTGTGGCTAGGAGAGGAATGTAGGTCGCACGATTCTTCCTATTTGGTACTCGTCAGCTGGATGTACCTGCATCTCAGTGAGTGATGTTATTTTCATAATAAATATTCAGGAAATATCAAGGCATCCGCTTATCAGCCCACACGCTAGTTGAGGTTGAACAATTCGATCCAGTAAAACAACGGAGAACTACAAGCATATCAACAAATAATAATAACTAATACCCGTTATACAAAAGGTGGTTATCGTACCACAGTGGTCTGGCGTTTGAAGCGATGGGTACTTGATTTTGAGTTTCAGTGGGAACAACATCAATCACTGGGGTGCAGGTACATCCAGTTGATGAAACGCGCGTCCTGAATTCCTCTGCTAGTCACAATCCAATTCAATTATTATAATGGTTATTGTTTAGTTTTGGTTTCATATTGATAAGGATGATCATTATACTCTTGAGATTTTCTAAGAGTTTTGTATCGGAAGCAATTGAGTTGTTGTGTGGAGTAGTTGTATGCTTTTGAAATTGGTTATGTTCTGGTTTGCTTTTGGGTTTACAATGTATTATAGCTTTGTTTGACTGCACGTGATTCGGCTTATTCACCATTAATGCTGACCTTGAAAGTGACTAATCTCGAATACATCTGCCCAGTCTTGTATATTCAATCCGCCTACATGATGGGTCACGTAATTCTACCCTCCTAGCTATGTACAACAACGCAAAGTCTGGTGCTTACTCTCCGTATATTTCAGGCCATCTAATCCACTTGTATATACAACTAAATTACTTGACCACAACACACCATATGTCAATAAAAATGAAACACCTTTGATTTTGAGCACAGAATATGAGATTACACACAATTATGGATCTCACTCATCATACCGAAACGAGTAAGGGGTCAATCAAAGCTCCTTGAACCGAGCTATCAAAATCGAGTCGAAATACACTTGTGCAGTAGGCAGTGAGCTACATCTATTGTGTGAGGGCTAGTGATACCATCTGACTGCTTAAGCCTTGGTGTAGGCGGAGCGGGGATCAAACTTGGTTGAGAGTCATCTCTCTAAACCAGTGAGCCGCATTTATATATATATATATATATATATATATATATATATATATATATATATATAATATTATGTAATGTATTAAACACGAATTCGAAGTTTCTGTGCATAGTACATGGAATGAGGCAGAAGTATATCAGGTAGGTGTGTATGTCTGTGTGGTATTGGAACCTGTCTCTTTCAGATGAAGAAGATACTTGACTTATTTGAGTACTACCATAATATGAAAGTGGGATGTTTTATGTTGTCTTTGAGCAAAGTTTTTCATTGTGATTGTAACAAATTATAACAGCGTGAATTTGATTTGTATTATTTATCGAATTATGAAGTATTTCCGCTGTAGGTGTTGTTTTGGTTTTAGGAAATTTTGTTTTTTAACCTTTAGAAATCAGTTATTTAGTGTCATCGATGTATGAAATGTGTACTTAATCATTTGTTTATTTAATATATATGCGTTGATCATTTCAGTCAAATGACTCCGATATATTGGATGATGAAATTGTTGAACCTGGTACAGATTTGTCTAGTCTAATACAATCTCATTTTACACAAATAGAACATGTGGCATCATCAACACAATGTGAATCATGCGGTAAGCGTACAATTCAAGCGAGAAGTTTGAAACTACAACATTTATCCTCTCATGTATTAATATGCTTAAACTTATTCAGATATTGTCGAGTGAAACAGACTTGTTCAAAAATTATGCATCGTGTACGTATACCAGAGCGTTTATCAGTTACTGTGTCTTCTTCTCCTGCTTCTGCTTCGTCGAACACAGAAACTTATGGATATAATAACATTTCTACATCGAATGATGATTCTAGTAAATCGAAATGCAATTCACGTACATATAGTCTACAGGCAATGATTTTACACAGTGGTCTATCAATAAGTTGTGGTCATTATACATGTGTGGCTAAGGTTGGTATGCAGTGGATATTGTTCGATGATGACAATGCTGATTATACAACATTAGAAGATGTCTATTCTGAGCCTTTAGCTACACCATATCTTTTATTGTACAGTCAGACTTAATAGTAGTATAACTTTCTTTATGTAATAATTTCAACTTCTTCTTTCTCCCGTAGTTTGCTCTCATTAAAATATATTTTATCGGCATTTTTGTTTTCAAAACAAACATTTACAGTCATTCAACTAACAGAGGTTTCTTTTTTCTGGATTTTTTTGTCTGAAAATTGGATATATGCATTGTATTTTTTTTCCAAAATATACTTAATCAAGTAGTAAATATGAACACAATTCACGGGAATTGATGAGATATTTTCTTGCAATGTAGCTAGCTTTATTTTTTCTGAATTTTGTTCGGTTTTTCAACAGTACTGTGAATAATTAATTGAGTGATCAAGGTCGAAAGGTTTGTCAAGTTATCAGTAACGTTTTTTTTTTTTGGGGGGGGGGGGGTTAATGTGTTTATTCAACTAGGTTATCATTGGCATAGATATCGTGATGTGAGTCATGAAAAAGATACTGAGTAAGCACGGAAGCGGTGGCTACTAGCGGTGAGTTGACGGAAAAGTACACTGTGGATACATGATTGGCTGTGAACGGTTTTAGTGGGAGCAAACTTTTGCAACTAATTGTGAAATTGGTCACATCCTATGCTAAGTTACGAAAGAAGTCCTGTTGATGCATATTTTTAGGGTGCGAACTTGCTGCACATATTCTGCCATGGATAAATAAGTACATCCTCTTATTCAGCATTACTTGACTATACACTGATCAATAGGTAGAGTAATATAAAAAGTTATCTCAATTACAAATATATGCATTATCTACTTATCTGCAACACTTTGTGGTCCACAGCTTGTTTTCTGAACTGAAACGCTGTACACTACTTAGTATCTGTGAGTAGTCAGAGAATATAAAATGAAATCAGTCAGCTCACATACACCATGTACTCACTTGACAGCAAAGTTCAGTGGTTTAGATGTCTGACAACTCTGTTTGTGTTTATTTGTGCCCAGATAGACACGAAATTTACTTAGAAACGTTTTGTATATTTATACTTTTTTTGGCCGTGTAAAACTATTTTCTGGGTATGTGTGTGGTCCGGTTCGCAATGGAAGTTTGATCGTACTTTCTTATTTTTGTCGATTATCTTCTCATGAGAGATGAGTTTCATGAGCTGGAAATAAATAGGAAAAATGAACACTAATTCATCATCTAACATAAACTATGTCTGAATGTGCTATCTGAACCTTCGATCCGATAATAGAATGGAATCATGATTATTTAGAGGTTCGATAATTACTCTGGTACCTCTGCTTCATTCTAGATAAGTTTCAATACGTGTTGACTGTAAGATTCGACAGTATCGTCATTGTTGACAGCCTTATGGAGCGGCCGTGGTAGTGAGAATAGCGTGCATAACCGTTGACTTACAGTTACCTATTTTTTTTTCATTTTTTAGCATATTCAATCATTCCAAATTCTTATCCTTTGGTAGAGGTGCATGATCATTTTTTTCATTATATGGATTGTAATAACTGATTTAAGTGAGAAAAAAACACAGTAAAAATAGCACGATTAGAAGGGGAGACCAGTAAAATACACCCGAAACAAAGCATTACTTTTCAGCAACAGAAGATAAAAGGGAGCTACAGCATGACCGCCACTGGTTTCGATTCTTGGTCATATCTGATAATGTCTCAAGCAACTGAATGTATACACATATTTCTTTTAAACACATGGGTCTTCGTTTTCTTGTGTTGATTCCTATGTGTCTGGTCATAGATAAGAGGTGTAATCATGTACTGTTGATACACTTTGTCACTTCTTTCCCTAACGAAGCTGGTAAATGTTTACTAGCGGGCATGGGAATCTCTCTCAGTGCAGTCTGGCTCCCCAGGAATATTTGAACTCATAAGTGCACATTGAAGCGACTATCATTAGTAGCGTATCGTCTATTCGCCATCTCAGTAGTGATTTGGTTGAGAAGCTGATGTAAAGTTTCACTGTAGTAAAATTTCTCTCAAGAGATCTACTCCGTAGTTGATGTGTTATGCTATTTGAGGTGATATCACCTCCGAAACTTAGTCTAAGATGAAAACCTTTTTTAGCAACGTTACTGTTCTGAATCCTCTCTCTAGATCTCGGTGTATACTTATGAATGCGATTTTAAGGATAAGTATTTTACTGCAACTTTGTCTATCCTTTTTTCCACCATATAGTCATCCGAAGATATATTTCGTCTTTTGTAACTCGGACATTTGACTAGGTTTCTTTTGCACTGACTTCGTGTAAAGCTTTCGTTCATAAATATATTCCTCTTAATATATACATGTGTCTTCTTGATGAGGAAGACATGTAGGAGTGATAATCTGTAAAACCACTTATACAACATGTGAATCTTGCTTCTTCTTCTTGATGAGTTTAGTATGCTGTTGTTTTACTATATCGAAAATTGGAGCGAATCGAAATTGACACAGCAACGTTGCACAGATTCTTCTAGTAGGCAATAAGCCACACCTTCTGTGTGACGGCTAATGATATTACCTGGCTGCCCAAACCTCGGTAGGTGGAGCGGTTGAAAGTCATCTCTCTATGCTAATGAGGTATAACTCCGCCATAGCTGTTCCTCTTCGTTTCATACATGTAGTTTCAGTGTGATTTTGTCTCTATTTATGGATATCTATCTAGTGACTGGTTATACAGAATCTAATAGATTTTGAAAGTACATGTTCAGCCTTCTTATCTGATTCTATTTATAAAACATACATGCTTTTACTTCACTTACTCAGTTGAAACCGTTATGTTTATTTGATTTACAACACACAGCGATACAGTATTATTTACTTGCTGACTTTTCAAGCATAAATTATCATTGCTCATAGTCATATCAATGTAATCACACTACTTTCGACTTCTGCTTTTTGTGGTCTTGCCACCTCTCATTCTTTACAGGTGGCGATATGTGGATAGCACATTTACTGTGTTGACATAGGAACATATCGAAACCTTTCCCAAACATATAAACTCAGCATTAGGCACAATCTAGTCCACTTACAAGGTAGAAAATGAATGTGGGGAATTACCCGTTTTGGATTGCAGGATAAAACTAATGACGTATGGTGGTTTGGATACCACCGTCTACAGGAAACCGACACATTCTGACAGGTATGTAAACTTCAAGTCATCTCATTCACTGTCAGCTTGGGCAGGTTTAGTCAAATATCTAAATGATAGAGCTAAAAAACTCACCAGTCATTGTTAGGACTGAAAAAGGGAATTAATACATAAGAGAAGCTTTAGTAATTTATAATTATCCTATACGACTTATTAAGAAATTCGTAGGAAAACATAAGAAATAAAATAACACTAATACAAATACAAATAATGGTGACAAGTAGAAAAGACTTCACAATCTCTATTTTGTTACCATATAAAGAAGGTACATCAGAAAGTTTACGTGGGATCCTCAACAAAGTTGGAATTAGGGTGGTATATAAACCTACAAACTCACTCAGAGATAAGCTGGCTCAACGATTCGATAGAACCAATTCAGCAAAATAATCTGATGTTTCAGATGCTTTGCAATGACTATGAGGTCAACCACGCAGGTCATACTAGCCGGTCGAGGTCAGTTAGATCTACGAAATATCGGGATTGAACTAAACATAAAGTGATAAACCCGAATAAGAACAATAATTTAGAAGAAAACTCGTCTATTGCAGTGCATACATAAACATACAACCACACAGTAGGGTGGAACGATGGCACTGTACCTAACTCCAATATAATTAGATGGAGAGAGAGAGAGATTGATTACTGAATCTTTGTTTATCGAATCTACACCCAACACATATAATAAGAATGACGCAACACCTATATCAAAGATATAGAAAATTTTCCTGCCAATAAAATGAAAGAATATGAGGTGGGTGATAGGGCTGTAAAAAGCAGATGTCGATAGTAGTGTGATTGCATCGATAAGATTATGAGCAATGATAATTTATGCTGGAAACATCATCAAGTAAATAATACTGTGTCACTGTGGGCTATATATTAAATAAACAAGTCTTATATGTAATTAAATTCTACCACTATGCTCAAGTTTTACGCTTATAATAATGAAACCGTTATAGTTCATTATTTGTAAATAAATATTAGGATACTTTGTCCACATTCAGTTCCTTTGAATTCGATACTTCAATTACCATAGATTACCTAGACTTCTCCTTCTTCCGGTATTTTAAGCTGATCATACTGTAGTCATCATCCATTGGGAATTATGTTTGTGTATCAGAGTATCAACCTGTTATTTACATAATGGGGTGGGAAAGAAATAAGTGAAATAAATTTTAAATCACTAAGCATAAGTTAGAACTTGAAGAAACAGATAGTAGCTACTAGAAAGAGATATACAATTACGAGAATTACAAGAAAGTATTGAGGGGATGAAGGCACTCAACTAAAAAGTAAAGTAATTAACGCAGGTAAGAAGGCATTTGTCTGAAGACCATTCATTACAGAGATCGACTTACTGTGCCTTTTTTCCCCCTGGCCGTTTATAACAAACATTAAAACGAAGAAAGAAAAGAGTTTCACAAAAGTATTCATTGTTTCAAATACAGACACAGACAGATACAGACATTTGAAAAATTAAGAAGTTGCAATTAATTCTGTACTGTCATTTGTTCACTGAGTTAATTTATGCAGTTCGTTTTCCTTTCCAGATGGTAACATCGTTGGCACTGACTTCTTCACGAAGTTTAATCTATGTTATAACAATGCCTATGATATGCACATGGTCTTGTAAAAAAAAAACAACCCGTTGAACTATACTGATTAGTTGTTCTCCAGTGACCAATCAACACATGTCAAGCAGTCCTACAGGGGGCCAATCGTGATCCAACATGGGTTTAAATTTCACAGGAATAACAGTCCTTTCAGGGTAAATTGATGTCTTATTGATAAGGGTACAAAAAAAAACAACACGAAATCTAGTCTAAAGGAAGCTTCCTACAGACTGTCTCCAACCAGTTAACATCCATTTATCTAGCTGAGTAGATATATCTTGACAAAATATAGTCATTTTTTTGCCATTTTCCTATCAAGAATAATTAGATTTTCATCTGTCACCTTTTGAATAACTTGGAGCTTTGTTATTTTCTCAGTTGATCATTTATTTTGTTTAAATTCATCATTTTTTTTTTTACTATACAATGTTGTCAGTATAAGAACCAATGAACAGAAAAAATTGGCTTTGAAAATTTAATTCTTCGTGATTTTGGACATTTTATAAGTTGTTATTCATCGAAGACTGACATCAGTTGGAGGAACAAAGGAAACCTGGGAGCACTGGACAGCTGTTTCGTCCTAGTATGGACTCCTCAGCAGTGCGCACCCACGACCCCACCAGCAGGGGTCG